AGATAGAAGAATTTTTGGAATTTCTTTATTAGTTAATAAAGTTTTTTCATTTGCAAGATTTTCAAAAGCAACGGATATATTCAAGTGCTAATATGCTTCTAATAGTATAATTATATTGCTTTTATCATATAGATAAGTTAGATCATTTTTAAATAGGAAGTTTCCAACATATTTGTTTTCCACCGACATGTTTCTCTAGTAAAACTTTCATTAATATTTGTCACAAATATATTTCGTTTTACACAATAATTCGTGCCGCGTAAAACGAAATTGTGTAAAAAAAGTTGACGCTCAAAAAAATGAAAAAAATTAATATCTTTTTTTAAAAATCCGAATTTTATTCATCGTCGCTTTCTATGATAATTATAAATTCATTTTCGTTTTACTGGAAGTACATAACTATCGTCACTGTTTTCTTTGTTTCATACCAATTGCAATGGCGTTACTTTTACTTGTTTCTTTGAATAGCTTTTCATGGCAAATTACTTTGAAATCATCAGATAACATAATCATGTAATAATATCATGAACAGATCGTTTAATATTAGGATTATTATTATTTTACAATGAAGCAATATTCTGACCTGCCAATTGTTTGTGGGTCTTGTTCAATTAAACGCAAAATGAAATATTTTCACACATATTTAAGTCTATTTTCATTGATTCTTCTTAATGAATGATATTTATTAATTTCTTAATATCGTGGAATATTAAATTGATATTAAACTGATACATATGTATATACAATTCTGCCGTATCTTAATTTTTATACAAAATTTAATTTTTGATTGTTTTGTTTTATCTCGTAACTATAAACAAGAGACAAAAGAAATAGTATAACTGTATACTTGTAAAAATATTAAACTTGTAAGAATATTTGTAACTGTAAATATTTTTATTGTAAATGTGTAAAAAAAATCGTGTAAGAAATACCGTGTAAAACAAAACTCGGGTATTTCTGCAACCAACAATTTCATTACTTGTATAGTGTATATACAGTGTGTACCATATGACTGTCGTCGTGATTTTTCAGATACTTGCGATAGTCTGACAAGAAAATGTTTCCAACAAAAGTTGATCAGATTTTTTAGTCAGCTTTTTTTTTTGCAATACACAAGAGTGTAAAAATTGTTTTCGATGAAAGGTCAAGGCCATTTCAATTTCATGGTATAGTAAGTTGTTAAATTTGTCTTAACTTTAACGCTAAGTTTAAGTATAAAATCAAAAATACATAATGTCATTTAAAACAATTAAGATGGCCTTGTTTACTGGAAAAAAGTGTTTTTGAAAATTCTGTATATCGTAACACGTAGTTGACTGAAAACCGATTAATTTTTGTTCCAAACATTTTTTTTTGTCAGTTCATCGGAAGTACCTGAAAAATCGTGACATTTACGTGAAACATATAATATATAAAATAATTAAAATAATTAATTAAAAATATATTTTCTCCTTTCATTTCGATTTGTATTCTATTTCATATTTGAACGATTAGAATGAAATATTTCCTGATAAATATGCATATTTATTAAATATTCTATGAAATTTAATCAAGGCAGTCGATTTTAGTCACAATAATTTTGACACTTGTGCAATATAATGCTATAGCTATATATTATTCGTCAAGAGCAAAATAATAATTGAAAGTGTGATTAACATAGCATACGTAATTAAAAACTGTAAATTTGAGATTAGAATTGATCGGTCAAAAACTCAATAATTGTTAAATGGAACTTCCTCATTGCCAATTCGATTATAGTTATATTCAAGCTACATAGCTCTGTATATAATATATAGCTCGAAGACGACAGATTTGTATGTTGATTTAACATTACCAGTTTCCTGTCACGTACGACCTTTCAATTAAGTTAATTATTTTGAAACAGGAGATCATTACTATGTACCTGCATTATCAACGATGTAACTCATGTGAATAATGAATAGAAATGTTACATGGTAACATTTATTTATTTATTCCGAAAAGAATTTTTAATACTTGATAGCAATGAAAATAATTACAAGAGAATGAAACTACTATTAATGGAGTTTCATTCAATTATGCAATGATTGATTATATAAACGTATATTGCGTAGAATATTAATTTTATAAGTGAAATTTGATATAACGGAATGGAATTGAATAGGAGGCTTGAAACTAATTATTAATATATTTATTGATGTTCGATTAATGTTCAGAAAAGAATGTTCAGAAGAAATTACTGCCTTTAAATTTAATAAGAGTGATATTCCATTATGCTTTACTAATATGATAGGAGTGAAAGAGAAATATCGACTCAGTACAATCAACAGTGACGATATTAATCAACAAACTTTCGGTATCTTCTTAAATTGATTACGCTTAGTAATCACATTAATTATATTAATCTATTAATCATATTAATCGTATATTAATTACAATTGATATGCCAATATGTAAAAGTGGACGCAAGCATTCGTACACTCGATGAAAAATTGTCTACATTTTAAACTGTCACATAAAAGAATCGTATAACAATCTGTAATAGTTGGCCTCATTTTAAAGTCTCTAACTTTGATAGTTCTGTGTTAATTTTTTATAAAATTTTTATACCATGTAACAAGTGAAAAAGTAAGGATGCTTCAAGGATTATCAAAAATTATCAAAATTCAAATACTTCTGAAAATATTAAAAAATTTTCTCATGACTATATCTATCATGATTCTGATGATTAAAGTTTCCTTTTTGCAATGACCTCTTAAAACTTTCTATATGATTTTTTTTCATCATTTTATTGAACATTAGAGTTAAATGACAGAGAATGTTAGGATTTCTTGAATTTTTGTCATTTAACTCTGCGGTTCAAGATTCGATAAAATGGCGAAAAAAAATGTACAGCAGGTTTTAAAGAACTGATGTAAAGAGAAGATTTCAATTTTCAAAATTATAGCGAATCTAATCATGAAAAACATTTTTTCCATGATCTCGAATGTGGTTAAATTTTTACAGCTCTCGAAAATAAAAATATCTTTTCTTTTATATGATGTATCTTTGAAAAACAAGAACTGAACGTTACTAAAGTAGAGTTTCGTACTTAAATCTTAAAATCAGGCCAACTGGATCATTATACGATTTTGTTTTACGAAGTTTAAACAGTTTAAAATAATTTTTCATCGAACGTACGAATGCTTCTATGCATTTATATATAATCATCCTAGTTTTTTTGTTGAAAGCCTGATTCGAAGGGCGTATTAAAATTTTTGTTCTCATTATATTTAGAAACATGAAGTTTTAGTTTAAAAGAAAAAGAGAGACTACATAAAATATATAACTTAATATTAAAAAATGTATATATTAATATTACCAAATATTATACTATTATACAGATTATTAAATGAGATGGTCATTAAATTATAATTATATAAATTGAAAGTAGTTAAAAGTTATTTATTTTTTAAAAATTTAATAAAATTCTTCAATTTAATTACAAAATATTATTATATATAAAAACACTAAAAAGATAAATTTATTCTTTAGTATGCTCTTCTGAATTAGTATTATAGTTTTAAATTTTTAAATGATCCATATAAAATTTAATTATTTAAATATTTAAAAATCATAAAAAAAATTGATGAATGTTAAAAACATTTTCCAAGAGAATGAATTATTCTTATAGTCTTTGATCCTCGTGGTGAATAGAACACGATACAAACATTTAAAAAATTGACCTTGAATTTCAAGATCAAGGTCACTTTTGCAGCAACTTTTTTTGATAAAATTCCACCGAAATGTAGAACCACGCTATCACATAATTATATGCAAATTTATTTCTCAAGATTATTTTAAAAATTGAAACAATATTCTTAATGTAATTCATATAATTCATATAATTTCTTGCAGTTTATTAAAATGTTTACTTTTTTAAGTAATTAAAAAACTGTAGGTCGAGAGTCGAAGAGGTTGCAAAAACTGTATTAAAGAAATGATAAGGACGGGAGATTTTGGGATAAGAGCTCGCTTAACAAAAACGATTTACGCGTGAATTTTTAGTTGAAATTTGCAAAGGACATGAAAGCGCTCTTGCTTTTTTCTCTAGAAAAGGTTACTTCTGTTCGCGATTGGCACTTGACGCGTGCGAATGGAAATGACGTAAGCAATCAAACAACTACAATGAAACGGCTGTCGTAGGCAAATTATTTCCTGGAAAAATTATTTTTCACGATCGTGAAAGCCTGACTGAAAAACATCACACTTTGGGCAATCTATTACAGTCTTTGTACAATCAATTACAATCAATCTATTACGATAAGAACTCAAGTTTTTATGTGCAATTGTCAAAATGAATATTTTTCATACTCGTCATGTGTCGAAAAGGTGGGAAAGATTTTCAGAGAAACATTACAAAGCTACCTCATTAATTCATAAATCCCTTTGAAATTAAATCATTTTATAACCAGTATTGTTTCGATCAATATTTCATTGGTTTAAAAATTTTTCAAATAACGAAGAACAATTTTCAATTTATTGTATCGTTTTCGTTTTCATAAATACATATGATCATACATATTAGTGTAATATCCAAACTGAAATTTAATTTAAATCAGTATTGATTGATTTGATCAATTTAAGAATCGGATTGAAGAAGATTTATTATTTTTTTTCTTGCATTTCAACAATCAATTCTAAATAGCCACTTAAATAAAAAAACACTGTGACGGATATTTTTTGAGAAAAGGCAATTAGCAAAGGAAAGTAACTTACTTAAGGAAATGAAGTCACAAATATAACGTTAAAAGGAAAACAAAAAAAAAAAAAAAATAATAATAATGGTAAAAAAAAGAAGAAAGAGTCAAGATTTGAAATAGAAAGGAGCTGGCGAAATATAAACAATTCTGGTTGCTACTCGCAAATAGGGTAGAATAGGTTAGCATCTCGAGTGCGCGCTCTGCGTCCAAGCATCGCAACACGAGTACTATGAGACCGTCGGCGTCGTATCGTCCGCCAGTATCGTGGAAGCGCGCGCCCCGTATCCATCGTGCAAGGTTAAGATTGCGTGAAACATTTCCTAAGAAACGACGGACGCGTTTCATCATCAATACGCGAATTATTTATACACGAATCGAGTCGAGATTTTGACATAAGGGTGAGTCTTTTATTACAAAGATGTTCTACAATTAATAAAAAAAAAAGAATAAACAAAATGAACGAACAACATTCACTTAATGTCTTAGAAAAATACAGGAAAATAAAAAAAGAAATAAATAAAAGGAGGTAAAAATCTCGATTTAAAATGCGGTGAGAAAAGCGTATAAAAGTGTTTCAGTGCATCTATTAACGGAGCAGAGTTATTGATAATTTTTCAAGTTTCAAAATGCTACTTTAAAGGGGATGCTGAAATTCGTCTTACTTCATGGATGCAGTATCGGTAAACAATCAAAAATCGAATCTATTACATGAATATTCTTTGCTTTTTCGTGAACAACAACCGAAATGTGTGTCTGTGATTACTGTGAAAATATATGACAAATTGATTATTTCAAAAAAGTAAACTGTATCATCATAAGATACTGTTTTCGTTATTTCCTTTCTTTTTTTTTTTTTTTTTTTTATATCGTATATACCTCGATAAATTGTTGATCGAAATATTAACGAAAGATACCTTGAGCGTCTTTCTTTAAAGCGTTGATATTGTGGGACAAAATCTGAAATTTAACATTGCAAAAATAACGAATATGACTAGATTGTTCTTGATGTAAAACGTTTGTGAAATTGAAACGCGCATCGCGACGAAAAATTGTCTAGCTATTCTCCGAATCGTGGAATCGATGAAATATAATGCACATATGCGTGCGCGCGTCATACACACACACACACACACACACACACACACACACACACACACACACACACACACACACACACACACACACACACACA